TACTTCTGATCTGCTTACAGGTGCTCAGATAAACAAAAATCCCCCATTGCGGGAGGAAAGGAGGCAAGGGAAATTCAACAGCAATGTAGAAATATTTCTTGACAACATTAATTATATTTACATTACAATCCCATAGGAGAAGAAGGCCTCCACTTAATCCTACAGGATCTACAAAAGCAAGCCTATCTTCAAAACCCAATTTTAGCCACTGATTTCACAAAACCACTAGTTTTCTTAGTTTCAGAAAGAAAAAGAAAAGATGGGTGGTGAGCCTTCAAGGACTCTCGGATTTGGGAAATTGTAGAGGGCCAACCCAGCCCTCTACAATTCCACACCGCAGCTAACATTGAGGGTTGGGGTGCCATTTGAGGCTGGCATCCTCCACCTGCTTTGAGTTACCTTTGAGTTTCTTCCCTGTTGCTGGAGTTGACAAAGCCTGAGGAGTTTTGTGAGGGGGAGATGAGGAACCCTCCCTTATCCTCTTCAAACTAGAGTTGTCTTGGATCATCAACTCTTGATCATCATGTCTGAGTAGTCTACCTTCTCTACTGAGGGCTCTCTTCCACGTTTTCTGCTGCGGTCTAGCTTGAATGTTGCTTGCTTTAACTTGTTTGTCCTTGATTTGAAGGGGGATATTTGATATTCCCAAGGTTGGCTCCACCTCCATCATCTTGGTCTTCTGAAGTTCTTCTCTAGGTTGAGAGCTTAAGACTAGAGTCTTGTGATGAGAAGGTTGAATAATCTTGCTTGTGGAAGATGGAGTAGGTTTGGATTGAGGAGTAAGATTGGTCCTAGATTGAGAAGATGAGTCCTCAGGCATTGAGTTTGAAGCTACTGTATCTGGTTGAGAGATAGAACCAGGATGCTTATAAACTTGGAATATTTGTTTCCCTTTTTCCATAAGACTAGAAGAGCTCCTAGGGGGAGACTCTGGGTTTGAAGAAGGAGCTTGACTTGAAGATGGGGAAGTTCTTTGTCCAGACTGTCCAATATCTACCCAGTACTGTCCCTCCACAGCCTTGATCCAATCCCCATATTGCCCCTCTTTAACTGAACTGGATTTGATGGCCTCTATTCTTTGCTTGCAACCTCGGTCAAGATGGCCTATTAGGCCACAGTAGTAACAAAGATTGTGCAATTTTTCGTATCTGAAGCCCACTGTAATGAGTTGATCATCTAGCTGAATGTTGGTGCATCTTGGTAATGGCTCATTTACATTGACTGAAACCAAAAGCCTGATGATTTTCCCCCCATGATTGTCTGAACTTGCCAAGACCACATTTTGAATAGAATGAAAAATTTTCCCTATTTTGACCCCCACTTCCGTGCTGAGCCAATTGATAGGAAGATTCCAAATCTGCACCCAAAGCTTGACTACCTGAAAGTCAGGATGCCTGCTCGAAATTCCTGCCTCCCATTCTTTGAGAATTAAGTATTGGTTTTCAAAGCTCCAACTGGTACCATCCGCTACTTTCCTCATGTCATCGTTACTTTGAAAGACAAATTGAAAAAAGTTATGTCCCAGCTCTTTAACCTCCATCTGCTGTTGCAATCTCCAAATGTGGCTCATTGTTCTCTTGATTCCCAGCCAGCTTGCTTTACGATCTCCTATGACTCTGTCAAAAAGACTTTTCTGGCATTCTTCAGCACATAATTTGATATCTTCACGAGCAATGCTGGTAATTAAGCTTTCCTTGTCGGACAGAGAGAATTTTTTGATGCGATTGGCTAGGTCATCGTCTTGACCTATACAACTGTGTTCGGCCATAACTAGGGTTCAGATTTTAGAAATTGAAACGACCGCGGAAAGGACCAACGGGTGAAGAAGACACCCAAACCTTCAATCGAACAACAAAGTGCAGAGAATCACAGATGAAATCACAAGGAAAGCTCCCACCCGAGAGAATCGCCGCTCCTGCTCCCACTCCCACCCAAAAAATTATAATATTAATTAGTATAACTATTATAAATTATAATAGTATAAGATATAATTAATTATCTTATAAAATAAAATTTATTGATATTATGTTAAAAGTTAAAAATTATTGTATTATAGATTAGAATTGATTATCTTATAAAATAGAATGTATTAATAATATGTTAGATGTTAGAAATTATTGTGCTATAGACTAGTACTGATTATCTTATGAAGTATAATTTATTGATATTATGTCAGAAGTTGGAAATTATTTTATTAAAGATTAGAATAGATTATCTTATGAAGTAGAAATTTATTGATATTATGTTAAAAGTTAGAATTGATTATATAATATATTACAAATTGTTATATAATTGATTATTTTGTAAGATTATTAACATACATCGTAATATATTGCAGGTGCCACTCGAAGATTTTGGAGGAGACGATGTTGATTACAGACATGGTTTCACTACAGATAACCTATTTGATAGTTGTGAAGAAGTTGTTAAATGGGTAAAAGATATTGCAATTATATGGGGTTTCAAATTGGTCATCTCGAAACACGAAAAAAAAGGAAAGCAGAAGGTGTTGAGGTGTCATCGAGGGAACGTATAATCATGCAATGGCTGTGACGCCATTGCAATGGTGGGATCGACGCCGCACTTGATCGGATAAGATGGGACGGGGGTGCTTGTGACGAGGAGCAATGGATAGAAGTTATAGCCAACCTCTTTCCTATTGCTACACTGCTTAATGCAGTTGTCATGTTGTTAGGATGTGGTCCTCAAAATAACAATATCGACCAGTTTAGTACGACAGTATTGCCGCTTCACGCACCATCCACGTCTACACGACTTGCACGAGAGATTGTCATAGGTCATCTTGGTTCTTACAAACACTTCATTCGTTTTTCTGTCTTCTAAGTTTCCATTACTGCCTATTTGTTATTGTTGGGAGAGATACCGAGATGGGACGGTTCAAGGATGAGATGATCACTACCAGAGCAGGGTCCAGTTGTAGCGTGATATTCGTAATGGAGCTGGATTTTGATACATTATGATATTCCACTTATGTTTGTGATTGATTACATTCATTCTATTATTGATATATTATGATATTCAGCCACGTTTATACGTTAATTTCGAGTTATATTTGTTATGCACTGGTTGAGGATAAATTGAACTAACAACAAATACAGTGAAAAATGATATTAGTATAATTAGTATAAATTAGAAACGATACTAGTTTGAAAAAAAATATATATATATTAGTATAAAATATTATGTTATATATTGGAATTGATTATGTTATATATTAGAATTATTACTATTATGTTAGAAGTTAGAAATTATTGTATTATAGATTAGAATTGATTTTCTTATAAAGTAATATGTAGTACTACTATGTTAGAAGTTAGAAATTATTACGGTATAGATTAGAATTGATTGTTTTATAAATTAGAATTTATTACTAATTTGTTAGAAGTTATAAATTATTTTGTTATACATTATAATTATTATCTCATAAATTACAATTTATTACTACTATTTCGGAAGAAGCTATCGTGCAGGCAAAAAAAATTGCAATAAATGAAGAAATAAAAAAGAAAAAAAATATCGTGGACGACTGCGTAGATGACGGCGGGCTCCGTGAGGATCCTCAAAGCAGAGCAGAAAGGACACGCTAACGAGGGAGTCACCGGCAACCTTGAGGAGCGGCAAGAACGTGGCGCGGAAGGCGAGGGCGCCGCCGCCGTTGCTGTCTAAGGAGGAGTCAAACTCTTTCCGGTGGATGTTACGATGGCAGCTGCAGGCGCAGTGGAGGTACTCGAGTGTGTCGTTGTCTCCAACAGGGAAGAACTCACCGCAGCCATCGATTGCATGGCCGTCGGTATCGATTGCGTGGTTCTTGAAGCACTCTCGGTAGCGGGGCTTCTTCCACGGACAGGGCGTTTTGATCTGATCTTGCCCTCGTCGTAACTCAGGCCCGTAGATCTGATCCCACTCTCATGCTCATCTTCTTCATCTCAAATAGCATTGTTATTTTGTACCCTGTTTTTTCTTCTTTATTAATTTTTTATTTGAAACCGAAAGAACTTAATTATACAACATCAATGTGTGATTAAATGTTTAAATATCTGTATTTAATTGGAATATGCATGTTGAACTGACACATGAATTTTTGCAAATGCCCTCATTATGTTGTACTGATGTGAAAATGTTTGTAATGATAATGTTTTTTTTTTCAAGTATTTAATTGATATCAGTTTATTAATCGCATTTTGTAATGATAATGTTGTATTTGAATAACAATAAGTGGAGTTTAGATTTCTTCATAAGGACATGGAACTCTACCTCGCACTCACGGCCGCCGGTGATGCCGGCATTGTAGGAGTCGGCCGCCACCTACCTGTTGCTTTCTTTCTCATTTTTTTTTGCATTTTATTTTTCTTTTTGAAAAACTATATGAAACTACTAAAACGTCCTCATAAATCAGTTTTTTTTTTTTTTTTTTTTTTTTTTTTTTTTTTTTTTTTTTTTTTTGTCGAAACCATTTTTATATCCGGTTTAGGGGGCAATTTGACAAATTTGTGTAGTTCAGGTAGTGGTTTGTAAAAAATAAAAGTTTATAGGGTGATGCGCGAAAATCGTGATAGTTCAAATGGAAAAAAGTATTTTACCCTTTTAAATATAACTAGTTTCTACTCTATTAACTTATAGTTTTAAATATAATATCTACACAGATTACTTATAATATAATGCTTTATATAAATCCGGATTGAGTTTATGCAAAGCTCATCAATCATGTATTAATGATACTCATTCAAAATAATCCAAACCAGTTGATATATTTACATAATTACATCCCAAGATCCATATTAAATCCATCCATCAATATCCACACATAATTCAGGTCTGCACACATTAAGTTCAAATAAACTCCCCAAACAAATCCCTCAATCAGACGCTAGCAGTTGTAGCACCCAAAAATGGGGATAAGAGAAGAGACCCTACTTGGGCAAAATAGACGCATAATCACACGAACTCTATACAGAAGCCAAAGACTAGAGGAGCCAAAGTCATCCCAAATTCAAACGTCGGCTGAATTCCCGCCCGAGCAAGCCTGCCTCCTCCTGGTCCCGCCTCCTCCGCAACGCCTCCCTTTTGATCCTCACCAACCGATCGTAAACGCACCATGGGAAACTAATGTAGTGATCCCTCTTCAACCCCACGTTGTATTTCCCCCAAAAGTCGGGGTGGTAGGCCACGTGGTACCAAGCCGATGCCTTTGCGCGCGGGTCATCAGACTCGCTCCCTTTGCGGAACCACGAGCGCGCCTCGTTCCTCAACGACCTCACCGCGGCCCCCACCGCCTCCGCGTCCTTCCTGCGGTCAAAAGTCTTGGACATCTTCATGATACCCCCGCTCAGTATCTCCGCCTCCGTCTTTATCCCGTAATACTCCATCAAATTCCCCAGCTTGTAGTCGTACTCCGTCTTGTAATCAAACGCCTCGTCCACGTAGTCCTGGAAGCCTGGGACCTCGAGATCCGGGTCGTAGGCCCGTCGGGCCACGTCGCTGGTGAAGGAGCGGATGGGGGCGGTGTGTGGGGCGAGGTCCTTGACCTCCCGGAAGAGCTTGCCGATGATGCGGGTCGACTCGTAGGTGGTCTTGTCGGGCTTCTCCATGAAGTCCGGGTAGGACTTGACGCGCAGGTGGGCAGGGATGTCAGCCGGGACGCCAGTCTTGGGGAAGTCGACCGCGATGGAGAAGAGGCGGGCAAGGTCGAGGCAGGGCTTACTCATGCCCATCTCGGGCTCACAGTCTGCAAACACCGTGTGGGCGTTGGCTATGATGCCCAGGCTGTCATTCACCATGTAGTTGGTGAAGTATTCCTCCACTTCCTGCAGGTGAGGAGAAGAGGCAAATGAATGAGAGAGAGAGAGAGACAGAGAGGAAGTTTTGGTAAAAGAGCTCAAAGCCGCAAACACTTGTCGAAGAAATCGATACCTCGATTGTCACCTCATGATCGAGCTCTATGGTTGGAGATGGACTATAATCCATAGGCGCAACTTGCCTCGGCGGAATTAAATCGGAGTCCCAACAAACGAAGTATATGTCCCCATCCAAATCACTTCCCGAACATTCATTCGGGTGGGGCCTGTAATTACAATTCACAAAATCAGCTACTGAATATTCAGAAAAATAGAGAAAGAAACAGAGAACAAGTAAAAATGGCAATGAGATACTTGTAAATTGAATAAAATGGTTTTCGTACCTAGTCAGACTTGCCTAAGAGAAACCCTTTTCTATTATTAGCACATACATAATACTTCCAACTCGTTCACATCTAATTCAAAAGCTTAAAGAAAAGGAAAAAAGAAATCTCATTCTCCATACCTTTCCCCTCTCTGCGGAAAAACAACACAGTCCACCATATGGTACAAAGCCGGCACGTCAACCGCCCTTAGCACCCGAACATCACCTGGATGCAGGCATGGGTTTTTCGCCACCACCACATTACCCCTCACAACATAATTACAGTCACCCAACACATAATCATTGTAACCATCATCATCATCATCATCATTATCATAATCATACTTCCCGCGCTCGGTTCCCGAGAATTGCACAAACACCTCCCCATAATCCAAAACCCCCGTCTCATCCAGACAGCCCATCATCTGGCGGGCCCTTGGCAAAAACACCCTTGCCTTAAGCCGAAGGTCCAGCAGCTTAGAAGCCCGAAAAGTCTGCAGCATCATCGAAAGAAAGGGCTCCGCATCGGGCTTGTACCCGCATTTCAGCATTTCTTTCAGAATATTTGTGTTCTCGCCTGGGTACATCAAGGACAGAGCCTCCCGGGCCTTTATAGGGTCCACCAGGATGCCGTCCAGCTGTGCCACGGCCTCCCTCTGCTTCCTTTCAAAAACATGGTCTTGAACCCCAAGAGTGGACAAAAGGGTTATGATCTGGCGATTCAGGAAGCACGGCTGGTACTTGCTGCAGGCCAAGACGTCGAGTTTCCTGTTTTCTGACTCGTACTTGCGCATGCTATCCCTCAATGAGAGCTTCCAGGACGAGCCAGGGTCCACGGCCACGACCCCTTTGTAGCCGCCATACCTGATCTGGAAAGCAGACGGGGTCGTTGAGTTCCTGAACCCGCATTTGCTAGCCACCCTGCGTGCAAAATCGGCCGATATTTTCCCGATCCCGTCAGAGAAGACATATGTTTTCCCGTCTTTCACACGCTCAATATCGCGAATAAAATCAATCTCGTTTACGTTCACTGTCAGGGTCTCAGTCGAGGATCCGAACGACTGTCCGAGCCTGGCGGCGTACCTGGCCACGTTCTTTATCGAACGGAAGTCGCCCATCCACCGCCTGATGCCACCCGCATCCAGGCCATCACTTTCGCTCGGAGCAAACATCCACAGAGAATTGTCTCGCAACTGGCTAGATGAAAATGCAAGAAAATTGAATTTCTTGCTCCCGATCCTTATCCCATTCTGAAGTATCGACAGCACCCTCTCGTAAAGCTTTGTCCTTCGGCTACCATTCCCAGCGGCAGCCCCCGCCTTAGGGGACAGATCGGTCGAGTACATCCTCTCCCACTCCTCATCCACGAATGAGACACGCAAGAAATTGTCTGTGAGGTGTTTATACTGGCGCAGGACGCGGTTGGACATGTTGACCTCCGGTCCCGAGAAGTAGACCCGAGTCGGGGTTATTTGCACTCTGTGGACGTAAACCAAGCCATCATCCAATGATATGGTGGGCGAACTCGGTACCTCTCTTAATGTGCGGTACTTTTCGTACTGCTCGAAAAGCCACGTAACCGGATCGTAGCAGCACTCTTTGAGATAGTACAACTTCTCAAGAGCATGCTCAATGTATTTGATGTTGAACCTTCCAGGATTGATTAGTTGAAAGAATTTGTAATCCAGGGTGGGCCCCGAGAGGCAGCCAGTTTGGACTAAACTGCAGACTTTGAATAGTATTCTATAAGGCAGCTCGACTCTCACTGGGCGTATGATAGGGACCAGGGAGGAAGTGGGGTCGGTGAAAGGGACACCCGGGTCCAGGTAGAAGGAGTCCCGGCTATCCTTGTAATAGACGAAATTGTCCTTGAAGTTCGGGAGGTGCATGCCGTGAGGGAGCTGGAGGCAGAGGCTGGAAGACTGTCCGATGCAGGATGGGGTGAAGTCAGTGGTTCGTATCCACTGCTCGTCCGGGGTTTCTCTGAAGAAGCTGAGAACTGAGTCCTTGAGCTTCTTGAAGATTCGGGGGGCGCCAAACAACTGGGGTATGAGAGAGAAATAGAGTAGTTTATTTATTTATTTTCAACTTCCAACTTTCCTCTCATATGCAGACAGAACTATGATTTATAGTTATAATAACAGCATGATGCATGAAACAAGCTTTTATAAACCCAGAAACAGAATAAATATTTGGATCACAAAAAGTGCCTCCAAGGTTTCATATAATTATGAAAAAAATCCAGTTATCTTTCAAGAATACAAATGCTTCCCAAAAGTTTTACAATCTATGAACAACTCCATGAGGTTTGTATTTATATATAGCAAATACAGTAACCAGCAAATTCCCTCTTGCAATTGAAATTCTATTACATAGGAACAAACATGAACAGGGTACTTGTATTCTTCAAAAACAAAGACAACAAGGCTAAAAAAATTAAGTTTCACCTGTATGAGTAAAATCTTCGAGGTTTGACCATGTGGACTGTACAGCACAATCTGCCAGATGCTCTCGTACGACAGTTGAAGTTTGTAGTCTTCCGAATTATGGGAAAAAAAGAAGTGCATTTTCTTCATGCCCGTCCCGAATTTAACGGACACACCCGGAGCTTTCCACAGCACGGAAAATCTTTCTCTGGATGTCTGGCATCCGAAGTTGAGGGTTACCTGCTCCATCTCGTGCACAAAATGCCTTGGATTCATTATGATGTCGGATTCTGATTGCCAGGCCCGCAGGTAAGAGGAGCCATAGTTTAGGCGCCTGCTCGCTATGTCAAGGATGATGTCAGCACACCTGCTGTTTTTGAACTGGACCCTGGCATACGGTCTTGAGCTCCGTTTGGACGGCTTTACCTCCAAAGCTACTACTGTTCCTACTCCCGTAAAGCCCTCCAAAAAGTTTTTTACTTCATCGGCTGGGACAAGGTAAGGGAAGCCAGACACCTGGATCGTCTTTCCCATTCTGTCCGCTGCTGACTGCAGTTTTCAACATTAACTTTTCAAATATATTGAGAAACTACTACTGAAGTTAACGTTAAATGCAAAAAGAACCCAGGGTTTGTACGATACTACAAAAGAAAAGGAGAAAAAAAAATCACAGAGTTTTGATTTAGCCTGCACACTCTACCATAAATAAAAGCAAAAAAATGTTTCAGATGCCCCCCTCACATTTGTGAAAATGTTACAATTATCCCTTCATATAGGACTAAGAATCACATCTCTTGGTTTTTGTGATTAATCCAGACGGGAGGGATAGTTTTGTAACTAACCGAAATGACGGAAGGGGCAAATCAAAGGGCAAACAAAAAAAATGAATTTCAATCAGACATTTGAGGTTATCAAAGCCTAGCCTGGTGTCTCATTTTTCCATTATGACTTCTTAAACAACCCGAGAAACAAGATATCAAGAAAACCTGAAGCATATCGTTTTAAAAAATTGTAAATCAGTCATGTTATCTGATGAAATTTAAAGAAACTTCTTTCAATAAAAGTCAGATCTAAGATTTATATCATCTTTGATCACATGCTTACGGCATTCATAACCGATTATTGCACTTCGATTTTCATTCAAGTAAACTTTTTCTATGCTATTGGCTTGTGCAAATATTTCACATTAATTGTCATCATCAAGGGTGATTTTCATGCATTACTCACTAAGGAGATACAAAAATTCAAGTTTGGAGTTCATTTATCATTTTCCTATCCACAATTAACAACAGGACAGAGAGATTCTTTTTATTATATAAAAGATTGAAGAAAATTTAAATAAAAAAAGGTCATCTGGTCAATGATGCTCAACATCTCGATGCAAAATATGAAAATTCATCAGCAAACTAATAATATACATTTACCTCCTCGCCAGATGAGGGAGTTTTTGATGGGATCATTGTATGACACATACATATGAATAACGAAAGCAAGCACGTTACGCCTCAGTTGTACGAGCTTATAAGAACCACAATTATGTTATCAGATTACCGTAAGTCAAAAAGTAGGCTCTCTTTATCTTCACGAACGATAATCACCAAATAATATTATGTACATCCTATTATTCACTTTCCCATTTCACAACTCATAAATGGGTTTAATGGTTTTTTCTTTCTTTTTTTTTTTTTTTT